AAAAATGCAGTGGACCAGGCTTCGGGGTCCAAAGTTGAGCTTGAGGGCTATAGTGGGTCAGAACACAGAGACACTGGCGAGTTTATTTGCCGTCCATAAAGTTTACAGGTGGTTACGACCTTATTACGGAGGTGGTCTCCCCTCATGGTAATATAAAGTACAAAGGGAGACTGGTAGACAATGCTCACAGACAATTGTCACTCTACAGAAAACTTCCGGAATTTCGGCAGTAAACAGCATATTGAATTGGCTAAATCTAGCCTGAGACCCTCAAATCAAGAGAGTTTTACTATAAGTAAGGGGCCCAGTGTAGGTTAGAAGCCATCTGAACATCTGACTGTGGCGGCATTGATTGACAAGGTGAGTTTTATTCTGTAATTGTAAATGTTAAGGATAATTAAGGATAAAACATAAGTACGATATCTTTAACACAGACTTCTCATTGTACATGCTCTTCTTGAGTTGTTTGTAGTCTTGTCACGTAGACCTAATGCAGGCTATATGTGTCCTTTTTTATTTTAATCCAAGAGATGGTTTAAAAAATATATTGAGGCTAGGCCTATGTGGTGTAAAATATACATAGGATTTGCACCATATTCCAATTGCCACACTGCGCTGGTTACGAATATATTTTGTCACCTTATTTTAAGGGTTAGGCTCCATAAAATAACAAAATCCCTTAAAGGTTTCGGGAAAATGTTAGACAAGACCGATAGACCTCAAAGGACTTAACATTTAAATATGAATGTTTCTTCTTTCCTGTAGCCTGCAGACTGCAGTAGGCCTATATTTATCAAATGAAGTAGGCCTATGTGCATATGATTTCTTACATCGCCTACTCTGAGTATGATTTGATTGAATTTAAATAACCTAGAGTAACACATCGCAAACATCTTGTACAGTGCCTTCAGAAAGTATTAATACCTCTTGACTTATTCCACATTTTGTTGTATTATAGCCTGAATTCAAAATTGATTAAATCGATTTTTTTCTCACCCATCTACACACAATACCCCATAATGACAAAGTGAAAACATGTTTTTGGCAAAAATGTACAGAGAATGAAATACAGAAATATCTCATTTATATAACTATTCACACCCCTGAGTCAATACTTTGTAGAAGTCTTTCTGGGGAAGTGTCTACCAGCTTTCCACACCTGGATTGTGCAACATTTGCTCATTACTCTTTTCAACATACTTCAATCTCTGTCAAATTGGTTGTTGATCATTGCTAGACAACCATTTTCAGGCATTGCCATATATTTTCCAGTAGAATTAAGTCAAAACTGTGAGTCAGGAATATTCGCTGTCTTCTTGGTCATCAACTCCAGTGTAGATTTGGCCTTGTGTTTGAGTTTATTGTCCTGCTGAAAGGTTAATTCATTTCCCAGTGTCTGGTGGAAAGCAGACTGAACCAGGTTTTTCTCTACAATTTTGCTTGTGCTTAGCTCCATTCTGTTTATTTTTTATCCTGAAAAACTCCCCAGTCCTTAATAATTACAAGCATACCCATAACATGATGCAGCCACCACTATGCTTGAAAATATGGAGAGTGATACTCAGTAATGTGTTGTATTGGATTTGCCCCAAACATAATATTTTCTTTTCAGGACAAAAAATAAATTGCTTTGCCATATTTTTTTGCAGTATTACTTTAGTGCCTTGTTGCAAATAGGAGGGATGTTTTTGAATATTTTTTATTCTGTACAGTCTTCCTTCTTGTCACTCTGTCAGTTAGGTTAGTATTGTGGAGTAACTACAATGTTGTTGATCCATCCTCAGTTTTCTCCTGTCACAGCCCTTAAACTCTGTAACTATGTGAAATCCCTGAGCGGTTTCCTTCCTCTGGCAACTGAGTTCGGAAGGACATCTGCATCTTTGTAGTTACTGGGTGTATTAATACACCAAGTGTAATAACTTCACCATGCTCAAAGGGACATTGTCTGTATTTATTTTATTTTTACCCATCTACCAATAAATGCCCTTCTTTGCGAATCATTGGAAAACCTCCCTGGTGTTTGAAATTCACTACTCAACTGAGGGACCGGACCTTACAGGTAATTGTATGTGTGGGGTTTAGAGATGAGGTAGTCATTCAAAAAGAATGTTAAACACTATTATGGCAAACCGAGTGAGTCCATGCAACTTATTATGTGACTTGTTAAGATTTTTTTAAACTCCTGAATTTATTTAGGCGTCCCATGAATACTTATTGACTCAAGACATTTCAGCTTTTTGTTTTTCATTCTTTTGTAAAAATTTCGAAAAACATAATTCCACTTTGACATTATGGGGTATTGTGTGTAGGCCAGTAAAAAAATTAATATATTTAATCAATTTTAAATTTAGGCTGTAACATAACAAAATGTGGAAAAATTCAAGGGTGTGAATACTTTCTGAAGGCACTGTAGCACACTCTACTCGTTTCATAATAACGTATTTGACTACAAGAGATTAAAGATGCACATAGAAACCTACACACCTGGTTCTCTTTCCATCAAGACAATACATTTGGGATTGCATTTTTGTTACTGGGCAAACAACAACTTGAAAAAGTACGTCAAACGGTACTAATATAATGTATAGCAACTGACTTGGCAACAATACAATTTATCCTAACCTGAAGTCTTGTAGGCCAAATAGCCTAATATTCTACTCGACTGTTGCTCTTATAATTGAGATAATTGAGGTTATCTGAAATATAACAAAGCTATTTAGTGATTCTATACCTCTATAATGTATAGTGGTGCACATACAATATGTGTTGAAGAGGTAGACTATACAGACCTTTGACGTCCATAATAGGCTATGTTGAAAATGTATCAACAAAACACACGCATGGCATGCCGTTTATCTTCCCATATATCCAGACAGCTCTCCATTGATGTCACTAACTTCTGGTATAGGCGGGTCTCAAACAATAATTTAACTACCCCGATTGTACACACTAACATGTACAATCGTTTATACTGTATTTTGGGCACCTATAAGGTAGCTTGGTAGTATGAAGTACTCAAATGGTTATCGCATATTTACGCATTTAGGTGCACTCGAAGTGTAGGCCTGCGCAAGAGTTTAGGTAAGGGGACGCTTCTACATCATAAAACGACTCTGCTTATTGGTAAAATAACTCCTTATATAAATGGTATTTCCCTATATCAAAAAGAAACTAAGTTGCTGGCTTTTGTGTCTCAAAACGAAAATGTTCTCTGAACCACTAGCATTACAGGCGTATCCATTCCTTCATCCATTGGTCTGAATAAAAACAAGTCATGAAAAATTTTTTTTCTATAATGTCATTTTGTTTGGGTGTAAGATATTGTGATTAAATGTTCTTAGAATTCATTGATGTTATTAAGTAAACATCATAAAATCACAAAACAGACATAATTAGATGTTTGGATTGTCTCATTTCTCTGTGTGTGTGTGTGTGTGTGTGTGTTTTGGTCTATTGCAATACAGAGAAATTGCGAAATGGTATCAAGAATGAGGAAGAGAAATTCAGATTTTTTGCCATTTATTTTAACATGTCCATGCCAATCAAGGATGTGTGCACTCGCAACCAACATCCCCTCCTTGAACTTAAAACATAAGAAATCAAGCTGATTCATACAACAAGATATACGAAGACATACATAGAGGTCATATTCAGTGCATTAAAAACGAGTCTATTGCATCAGCACAATAATGTAGGCTAATGCTATTTAAAAGCTGAAGTACAGTTCTTTGTTCAATTATAACATATCGGTTAAATAAATGTGCATTACTTAAGGCAGTTTAAGTTGTTGGGACACTAATTTTAGTGACACCGTCCTTTAGCTGGCTAGGTAGAATGGCGCAGAGACACTTATTTCGAAGATCAATATAGGCCTACTATACCGCCACAAGTAAAACCATAAGTATCGCGCAATCAAATGCAATATAATGTGTTATAGGCCTATCATTGCACTGCCTTGTCCCTTCAGTGAGAATGTATAGATCAACATTGCTAATGACAAAACCGTTTTCTTGGTAGATTTTAACATCACCTCCAAGTGCATGTAGATCTACTTAGGTAGTAAAGAGTTCCCGGTCTATTAAAACCAATACAGGCTAATAATCACACAAAAATAAGTTATTGCTGCCTTCTAGAATCTTACATTTTTCAGAATTAGGTCAAGAATCAAGAAATATTCTACATATGGCGAATTTCCGATTTGTTTTGTTTTTTAATCGGATTGAATAGGCCCGGGGATCATCTGCGATCAAAAGCTCAGACAGCGCTCACAAAATATAGGCTACATTACCAGGCCTATATTTGAGATACAACAACATGAAACATCCCTTATGAAAGTGCCCTTCTAACCAGGAGTCCATATCGCAAATTCAGCAGAACCTCTTACAGGAGCAAGTAGGGTTAAGTGCCTTGCTCAAGGGCACATTGACAGATTTTGCACCTAATCAGCGCGGGGATTCGTACGAGAGACCTTCGGTTACTGGCGGAAGGATCTTAACCACTTGGCCAACTGCCACCCCTTTCCCCACCTTTGGAATTGGCAGTTATGCATAAAATAAAATAAAACTCCCATCATCCCAATACACACAAAATCCACATAAAAAAAACTTGAGGAAAAAAAAAAGTACAAAGAATTTGTATTAATAGTGAACCCTTTTCCTCGAATGACAACATTGATTAAACATTTAAACATTTTCAGCCATCCTATCCTCTTGTGCATTCTGTGATATGGACATATGCGCATATTAACAATATGATTTGCAAGTGCTTTAGGTCTTTATGTTATGAGAGCCTTTGCAGCGTTTGGAGACTGTATAAGCTAAACATTATTAGTAGTTATTATCCTCATAGAGAGAGCTTTTTGCTGGAATCCAGAACAGATATTTTTCTCTCATCTTGTTGACGCAATAAAACGGTGGTGATAAAATGTGATCTCCTTCTCCCGGGACCATCTTTCAACTTTTAAGCCATATAACCATAAAAAGAAAGAGCAATAAAAATCACTATTTCGTCTCCTCTTCCTCTCCCGTTTCCCCTTTGTCTCCCTCTTCTCCTTCACCATCATCATTGCCTTCATCTTCGCCCTCTCCCTCGCCCTCTCCCTCACCATCACCATCACCCTCTTTCTCCGTCTCTACTCTTTGGCACGGAAATTTGTCCTTGTTGTTCTCCTTTTTCCACTTCATCCGTCGGTTTTGGAACCAAATCTTCACCTGCCGCTCCGTCAGCCCTAAAGCATGAGACACCTCGATCCGACGCTTACGGGTGAGGTAAGGGTTGAATAGAAATTCCTTCTCCAACTCCAGTGTTTGGTATCGACTGTAGGTCTGTCGGCCACTCCGTCTTCCTGGGGCTATAGAATGGAAATAGCACTTACAATTAAGCAGGAATTGTTGCAAAACTGTGTCTGGTTCATTATTATATTTGAAATAGAAGACTGATTGTTTGATATTGATTGTTGTGTGTGTGTGTGTGTGTGTGTGTGTGTGTGTGTGTGTCGGAGGTAGTTCGCAGAGCTATTCTTATTTGAGCCCTGGCTGTGTATGCTATATCAGAGGTTGGTGACATCCACATTGAGCCATTCCACTCTACTGGAAAATCCAAGACTATACATACCCTCTACTCTTGGATAGCTGTCTGGATGTATGAAGAAAAAAAAATGTATGCACTCACTAACTGTAAGTCGCTCTGGATAAGAGCATCTGCTAAATGACTAAAATGTAAAATGTAAATGTATGGGAAGATAAACGCCATGCCAAGTGCTTATGCTGAACTTTCACTTAATTCGTGTTTACTGTTGTTATTAATTTCTGCTTATTTTCTCATCTTCTAGCGATCAATTGAGCCGCCATGAATGGCACAGCACTGACGCAGATCTACTGGTATTTATATGCCTGTAATCAAAGTAGCTCAGATCTGATGAGAGTGTGTCATTGTGCCACGGTTAAGCGATGAAGTTCTACTGAGTGATAAGTGATGATCCGAAAACGTTATCATACTTTACCGAATGTAGGCTACATGGCATGAAAAGTACAACAAAATAACCACACAAGAAACCTAACTGTAGCCTACGCTTATAATGTTAGAGCCTATATAATTGCACTAATGGACATATTAAAACGTAGCCTACTAACCGTGCGGTCTCATCCATGGAAACATGAGACTAGGAGACTGGTTTTGATTTAGGTGGCCTTGTCCTTCTCCGAGGTTAGTGCCATTTGACGATTTACAGTCTGGGTATAGGGCCACGCTTGCCTCTTGTTGGGTACCATAAAGCGTTTGTCTCGGAAGGGCTTCGTATCCATAAAATGTAGTGCCATCTCCATGGCAAGCCAAGGCGCATGGATTCTGCTGGTAGCCTGGTGTGGAGATCCCCGCCGTCCCATGGTGAAAGAGGTCTTGGACGTGATGGGGCGGGTGCTGAAATCCCGTCGCCGCCGCTCCCGCACGGTACACCAGCGCGTGACTCGGGGTGACGCTTTGAGGGAACCTGCAGTCATAGTAAGTTGGTTCCAACGTTTCACCGCCTTTGTATTTGGAAAAGAGAGGGTTCACGAAATAGGAGCTCATGTTTTTCTGTTGACAATGTTACAGCTGAATAACTTTTTTACGACAATTCCAATTATTGCCTTACTTCTGTTCCAAACCCCAGACATACAACGAACGAAACCACGAAATCATATAGACAGGTTTAAGGAATAAAATAATAAAGCCTGTTTCCTTATCCACCTCTCCACTGTTAAAACACTGCCCTGCTACCAAAGGAAGTTCTTTGCTTTTTATTGAATTTTTCCTTTTGCAGCTTCAAATCAGCTTCTTATGTCGTGCATGGTTGATGTGTGCTATATAGCTAAAGCGGCTAGCCCCTCAGACACACAGTCACAAGCGTTTCTGCGCCCCCCCTGTTCACGACATCGACCCCCTCCTCTCTCCCCACCAACCTTCAACCCCCTCCTATTCTCACGGAGTGCTCGGACGTCTAAACCGTGAAACAGGCAAGCGGGAAGGGACTGTGCATTTTGCTTAACAATACAATAACATTTTGAATATTTTATGTAGCCTAGACTATGTGTCAACTATCCTTTTGTTTAGTGTTATATACATTGTCTATTTGAAAGAGTAGTGCTCTAGATGTTCCTCTCTAGACGTTCCTCTCTAGTTAATAGGCCTACCGTTTATTGCCCTTAAGAAAGTGACAAAAACCTCGACCTCTGACTCCGTGAACGCAAGGTTGATGCATTACGTCAATGATTTCCATTCACGCACACATGTACGCGCACACCCAGTGGCAGTGAAATGTGTTGTAGCCTAGCCTATTTCAATTAAATATTTAAATCGAAATGGTTTACATGTAGCAACATTGTATTTGATAATAACACAGCCTAGATATTTGGTTTGATATGATTTTTATATAACCAGAATTATTTTATAATGCTTAATAGTTGTTGATGCCATTGATGTATTATTGTACATGATTTACATGATTATTAATGAAAATAAAAGTGAAATAAACGTGTTTGGTTGAATTTTTGGTCTTTAATTAGAGCAAACATAATACAAATACGAAAATATGTTTAACAATTACAAAGACTATACATATTGACATTAAGTTAGGCCTACATGTTCTTATGTTCGTTTGAGCCCATAGTAGATGTAGCCTATCTTATGCTACTTAACACTAAACATAGGCTATAGATTAACCTAACGATAAAAGAGAATTTATCAGTTATAACTAAAATAATTGTTCTTCATAACAACACAACACCAAGACAGAGATAGAGACCCACTGACAGATAAATGAGTGTAGAGAGACATAGGCTAAATAAATTGGAATATCAAGCTTTAAAAAAATTATACAATATTGGCATATTACAGATATACTACTGCCTATAGTGTAGGCTAGAGAAGAAAGATAATTATTCTCCGTAAAAGTTATACGTAGACTATCAATAATAGGTATTGAAGAAAACGGACCTTGTTGGTTGTTCATCTCTAGGCATTAGTTGTTCATCTCTACATTTGTGACCAGTAACCCTAGAACAGCCGTTAAGAACACTTTCTCCCTCCAGTCCCCGGAAGGTTCCCATACAAAAGGTAAAAAGGCTACATGGGCTCGAAAATGTTAAATACTTAGTCAACAGTGACATCCAGTGGCCTTGTTGTGTTTTGTACTGCACTAATTGGACTAGTTCTAGACCTACAGTACTTTCACATAACCATGAGAGGCTATTATTTCGTAAGATATAGGCTAGGCCTACACATTTGTATGGTATATCGTGATAGTGGAAGATTGGATCAGATATAGATTTCAATCATATGAATAGAATGTTTCTGCCACTACTGGGCCTACTGCTAGTGCTGCTAGCTTGCTAAAATGCCAATCCCTGTAAGGGATATAGTATAAAAATACTATATATAGCCTAATAGTGAAAGTAGAAATAATAACAATTTAATAATGAGCAATGAGGATACCTATATGTTACAACTCTAACCACATTTCTATAAATCGTAGGGGTCCTCATAATTTTTGCCATATGGCCCCAATAGTAAAAAACTTGAAATGATGGTATGACGGACATGTATACGGAAGTCATATATAGCCTAAGACAAAGTCATAAAGACACATGGGTTGGACTCAATCGAGGCTATTTCAGAATAAGGGAAATGACATTTAAATTTTTAGCCATTTAGCAGATGCTCTTATCCAGAGCGACTTACAGTTAGTGAGTGCATACATTTTCATACTGGCCCCCCGTGGGAAACAAACCCACAACCCTGGCATTGCAAGCACGATGCTCTACCAACTGAGCTACAGGGGACATTACCATTTGACAAGGGACAGTGCCAGTGTTCCAAGAGAATATTGTTGCGCTGTGCTACACTGAATATAAACGCTACAAGTGCTGGTCTCATGTTTCATGAGCTGTAATAAAAGATCCCAGCAATTTTCCATACACACACAAAGTTTATTTCTCTCCAATTTTGTGCACAAATCTGTTTACATCCCTGTTAGTGAGCATTTTATCCTTTGTCAAGATAATCCACCTGACAGGTGTGGCATATCAAGAAGCTGATTAAATAGCATGATCATTACACAGGTGCACCTTGTGCTGGGGACAGTAAAAGGCCACTCTAAAATGTGCAGTTTTGTCACACAACACAATGCCATAGATACCACACGTTTTTAGGGAGCGTACAATTAGCATGCTGACTGCAGGAATGTCCACCAGAGCTGTTGACAGATAATTGAATGTTAATTTCTCTACCATTCTGAGGAGAATTTATGTCTGTAATAAAGCCCTTTTGTGGGGAAAAATTCATTCTGATTGGCTGGGCCTGGCTCCCAAGTGGGTGGACCTATGCCCTCCCAGGCCCACCCATGATCATGTGAAATCCATAGATTAGGAACTAATTTATTTATTTAAATTGACTGATTTCCTTATATGAACTGTAACTCAGCAAAATCTTTGAAATTGTTCCATGTTGCGTTTACATTTATGTTCAGTATAGATTTGGAATAAAGGAAGTTCAATTTGGGGCCTTTCATGTGTTCCTCTTTCCCCCTCTGCCACATAATCCAGAGTGGAAAAATAAAGGGGGATAGAGTCACGTTTGCAGCACACCATACTTTCAAATAAGAACAATAAAGTAATTAAGCCTAGACGTCTAGCCAGTTCTGCTAGGTTTGCTTTCTTAGATTGCATTCGAGATGAACAGTGCTGCCCGAATCAGGGTCGTAAAACCCCACATTTCGCTGTGCTCCGCAACGGAAATGTTAAACTATATTGGGCTCTAAAATCTCTGCATCCTGTCAGTATTGTTTGTGACACTTAAGGGGAAAGCCAATTTAGTCCAGCGACCAAGAAAGAAAAATATACGCCTGAAAAGATACTTCACACACCTCAAATTAACTGATAGGCTAAAAGATGCAAAAGACTATGCAGCAAATTAGTGTAGTGTGCAGAGGGTGTCCAAAAATAGCACTGACACAGGGGAACACATGTATCGCCGTTTGTTGTGGGTTAATATGTCTCACATAACTACGACACATGGCCAGCATGACCCATCTAAAATACAACATTGAGCACCAACTCAGCAGACCAAAATAATATAGCGCACTGCTCGGCTCACAAAAGCCTCAAATCAGTGACCAAAATGTGCATTAGTCTATTGCAAATGAATTCGTAACGTCATCAATGTGTAGCCTAGGCCCTATATTCGCGATTTATGCTATGGAAACAACCCAATGGGCAAAGACTTCAATTCAAAGTCTATTCCACGTTGGTTCAACGTAATGTAATTGAAATGACCTGGAAATAACTTTGATTCAACGAGTGTGTGCCCAGTGTTAACGCTCATATAGACTACATTTGTATGATACAATAGTGGAGTCTATAGGCTACAAGAAGGCTAAGTAAAAACTATAAAACACCTCACATGGTAACTAGCCTACATTGTTTGAAAGTACGCAGGGATAGGCCTATATTGAGATAGGTCTATGCCACATGGTTGCACGAAATGCACTCTCAATGCACTCCTCTATTATACCTGAATCTCAATAATCAAGTTATACTGTGTGGCATGTTTTCTTAAATGACCACCAATTAGAAATATGGCCAGGCCTAGACAGATTATGGACTGAAAACGTTTCAGAGCCAGAATACCACGCTAAAGCTTTTCCTTGAAATGGTTGCAATAATCTGAAATGATTATGATTGGATAACCCGTATAAAGCAAACAACGTGATGCAATGCGTTTACACAAGGTCTCAAATGTCACCTTAATTTTCCTCCAGAGCCATTTACATTTCAGAAAACACAGCGTCTGGAAGTGGTCAGGAAACGTGCATTATAAAAGGAAATAGAAATGGAAGAATAATGAGTTAAAAGACACAGCTGCTTTCAATAAGGAGTGGTCCGTATCTAAATCTAGTGTGTAGCCTATTGGAATTGTTGAATCACTTATATCCCAACAACTAACTGCGAATTATATATTTTGTACCCTACTGTCTTGTCAAGCCATCTCAGAATGTCATTGTTGCAAGTGTTAATATTTCTGATTAAGGCCAGATTTTAACGTTTTAATATGAATGACCCAACAAAGACAGGAAAGGAGATTACAGTATAACATAAAGTTGTAGCGTCGAGAGAAAATAATATAAAAACCGTACAACAAAATCTATATCCACATAGGCCTAGACGAAAACACAAGACACACGTTCCATGTACTTCGTGTACAAAACATTAATTTACACTTGAATAGGCCAAAGATGCAACATCTACAAAAATACACAGGTTTTGTTATACACATGAACAGATGAAACACCATTCAAGCACAGTTATCCAACTTGACCGTATACCTTTCTTTACTAATGTCCTATTCGTGTCTTGACTATGAACCAGTAATAAAGGATAAATAGCCCAAACAAGTTGCATACTGTCACAGCGAAACGTGGGCCCAATCTGCACTGTGCTACTTTGTCAAGAATAGGCCTAGAGCTCAATTATATCAGATCAAAAAGGAAAACAGTAGCTCTCAAGAGGAGAGACCACTGGAGAGGAGAGACCATGAGTGACATTTTTCTGAATGTGTACAAGTCAATTTGTCCATACAGCACGTTACTGCTCATTGCTTTCTGTCTTCTCTTTATTCATTTTCTTCATCTTCATCCGCCGATTCTGGAACCAGATTTTGACCTGTCTCTCGGTCAAATTAAGAACCCGAGCGACCTCATATCGACCGTCCCTGGTAAGGTACATATTGAACAAAAACTCTTTTTCGAGTTCGAGAGTCTGATATTTTGTATAGGGACACCGTTTCTTCCTCGTTGAACGAGCGTGTATCCAATTCGCCACCGGGTTGCCTGTAAAATGATAAATCAGAAAAAAAGTAAATCAATTGAGCACTTTTGCTGACCTTTTCCAGTGTATAACCCATTAAGGCTACTTTAAAATCATTATCATAAACACTTCAACACACAACAGACCAAACGGAGAGCAGGCCTACTCTCTTATTAATTAAAAAAATAAAAATAAGCCTATGGTTCAATATAATCCATGTGCATTGTCAACTGTGTCATCAATGTGTTCCTTAATAATTATAAATAAGCATCTCTCTTATAGACCTGATCCATCTTTTAAGAGCGTCAACAGTACTAGAAAAGGACCGAGTTGTAAAATTGTGAGTGCGCCCGTTCGCTTTATTGCCCCATAAAATATTTTAAAAGCCTTTAACTTCAAGTCTCCGCAGGTCTGCAACCGAGGCAGCTAGATGCATTTCACCCATTCTTGTTGTGGCCAAAAATATTCTGTTCTGTGTTTATTGTAGGGAGTTTGCTCGGTGTTGTTATGTTTTTATAAGTACTGATATGAAGAAACTTCAATATCAATGGTTTTGGTCCTCGCTGAATAGGCTGTATTTAAGCAAAGTTATGTTTTGTGACTTGCTCGGCTTCGGTTGTACCAGAACGTTCAATAATCACGTGAAAAATCAGCCATTATTGACTAAATAACACGGTGCAATAAACCAGTATAGGTTTACATGAAATGAAATGAGCCATTATAATACTGCAGATAAAAACCACAGTGGCTCTTCGTGGTTTCTGCAAGCTTTTCTGTAAACATGGATCATCCTATTAGCTTGTTGGTTGATTTTAGGCTTCTGGATGTGCATTTCAATCGAAGGCTATAATAACAAATAATAAAATAATAATAATCCACTATAACACAAGGCCTATATAAGGCCACACCTCTTGTGTATCAATGATACAACATCAAATGTCTCTATAAGTAAAATAAAATATGCTTTTAGGCACACAAAAAATGCTTTTAGGCACACGTTTAGGCCATGTAAGAAGACAGTGGAGTGGAGTTTACTAGAGATTCTGATCTCGCCAATGAAAAGCTTGTTTCCAGTTTCCCCATTGCATAGCTGTTTTATAGCTAATTCATATTTTACAACCTTAAGGGGATTGGCGTTTGTCCTGTCTAACACTGTCTAACAGCCCCTCCACTTCCCCTCTCGTTCAAACGGAAGGGAAAATAAACGATAATTTCGTTTTATAGTGGGACAACAACCACGAGCAAAACCCCCATGGAAGACGAACACCCCCACCTCACGCACACACAAACGACTCCAATACCCGTTTGTAGACTGGCATGGCTTCCACTTACTTGGGTCGAATTCTGTCTTGTCGTCTTTGTGCTTTCCGGAAGCCAAAATCTCCGACTCTGGAGAAGGGGCGATCTGCTGTGCCTTGTCTCGGATGTCCACGCAGGTGTTGTAGAGATAGTCCGGGTATCCGCGACCGTTGGAGGTGATGCAGTGTCCGGCACCGGGCTGAGGAAAATCATCGGGTTTGAGTCCGTAGTGTCTGCAGTTAGCCGGATAGGCTGGAAAGGATACTGTTCCAGATATGGGCTCCAGCCATGAGCGAACATACCTCGAGTCCGTTCCAACGTGAGGTTGGTGGGTGTATGGGTGGTAGACTACTGAGGATTGGGAGTGAACTGGGCCCCAGGAGGAGGTAAAGACAGGAGGTTTCGGCGCAAAACTGCAGGAGGGTATTTCAGAGCACTCCGGTACTAGTGTCGTCTGACATGAGCGGGTGGGGAGAAGCTCTGTGGCTGAGAACCGCGACGCAAGAAAATCCTCGCTCTCATGGTTTATCAAAGAATCCACGCAATAATTGCGTATAGGACCCGTGGTCGACATAGCGATGCTCTCGTCTCTTTTACATGCATCAGATTATTATATGGAGTGTATGTGTACTTTTATCTTACCCCTAGAACAATCAAGCCAGGTAATTATTTCTCCCGGGTTTCTTTGACTCTCATTGGCCACCGATGAACACGTGATTATGTTTACCCCAAAACGTTACAGTCGATTAATGTGCAAGCACTCCTAGGACAAAGGTGTGTGTATCAGACATTTGAATGCTATTTATGTACAGGAATGATATTATATGAGCAATCATTAAGAAGGATTCACCCCCTATAATGTTTTCGTTTTTCCTTGTTGTCCTAAAGACATGGAGAACTGCGTATCCCCTCTTATTGGAGAATGATGTACTTTGATCACAGTGCACGAGGCACTATTTATCGATGTAATTTGTCTTTGTCGACCACAATTTGAAAAATCACTTTGAAACTTGAGGGATATTCTTGAGGTAAAACAGTTTTGGATAATAAGAATGCCTTTTTCCTTTAGAGTTTTTTCCAATCTTAATGCATTGTATTGACTTCGATGGATACAACATTGTTGTAACATGCACAATCTCAACAAGAGATGAAAGATCCAAGAATATAATAATATACCCCAAATGTGTGATTCACATGAGGCTTTTATATTGTAGAAACACATAACACACGGTGCATTCTCAGTTAATGGAGTCTAGAACTTTGTGACTGTGTAGAGATTCGGAACACTTGCAGCTAAATTCGTAGAGGCCGCTCATGTTTTATGTCCCTCAATATATTTTTAGGAGAACCATTTGCTTGTTCATGTACAGTGGGGAAAAAAAAGTATTTAGTCAGCCACCAATTGTGCAAGTTCTTCCACTTAAAAAGATGAGAGAGGCCTGTAATTTTTATCATATGTACACGTCAACTATTACAGACAAAATGAGAAAAAAAATCCAGAAAATCACATTGTAGGATTTTTAATTAATTAATTAGCAAATGATGGTGGAAAATAAGTATTTGGTCAATAACAAAAGTTTCGCAATACTTAGTTATATACCCTTTGTTGGCAATGACACAGGACAAACGTTTTCTATAAGTCTTCACAAGGTTTTCACACACTGTTGCTGGTATTTTGGCCCATTCCTCCATGCAGATCTCCTCTAGAGCAGTGATGTTTTGGGGCTGTCGCTGGGCAACACGGACTTTCAACTCCCTCCAAAGATTTCTATGGGGTTGAGATCTGGAGACTGTCTAGGCCACTCCAGGACCTTGAAATGCTTCTTACGAAGCCACTCCTTCGTTGCCCGGGCGGTGTGTTTGGGATCATTGTCATGCTGAAAGACCCAGCCACGTTTCATCTTCAATGCCCTTGCTGATGGGAGGAGGTTTTCACTCAAAATCTCACGATACATGGCCCCATTCATTCTTTCCTTTACACGGATCAGTCGTCCTGGTCCCTTTGCAGAAAAACAGCCCCAAAGCATGATGTTTCCACCCCCATGCTTCACAGTAGGTATGGTGTTCTTTGGATGCAACTCAGCATTCTTTGTCCTCCAAACACGACGAGTTGAGTTTTTACCAAAAAGTTATATTTTGGTTTCATCTGACCATATGACATTCTCCCAATCCTCTTCTGGATCATCCAAATGCACTCTAGTAAACTTCAGACGGGCCTGGACGTGTACTGGCTTAAGCAGGAGGACACGTCTGGCACTGCAGGATTTGAGTCCCTGGCGGCGTAGTGTGTTACTGATGGTAGGCTTTGTTACTTTGGTCCCAGCTCTCTGCAGGTCATTCACTAGGTCCCCCCGTGTGGTTCTGGATTTTTGCTCACCGTTCTTGTGATCATTTTGACCCCACGGGGTGAGATCTTGCGTGGAGCCCCAGATCGGTGGAGATTATCAGTGGTCTTGTATGTCTTCCATTTCCTAATAATTGCTCCCACGGTTGATTTCTTCAAACCAAGCTGCTTACCTGTTGCAGATTCAGTCTTCCCAGCCTGGTGCAGGTCTACAATTTTGTTTCTGGTGTCCTTTGACAGCTCTTTGGTCTTGGCCATAGTGGAGTTTGGAGTGTGACTGTTTGAGGTTGTGGACAGGTGTCTTTTATACTGATAACAAGTTCAAACAGGTGCCATTAATACAGGTAACGAGTGGAGGACAGAGGAGCCTCTTAAAGAAGAAGTTACAGGTCTGTGAGAGCCAGAAATCTTGCTTGTTTGTAGGTGACCAAATACTTATTTTCCACCATAATTTGCAAATAAATTCATAAAAAATCCTACAATGTGATTTTCTGGAAAAGAAATTCTCAATTTGTCTGTCATAGTTGACGTGTACCTATGATGAAAATTACAGGCCTCTCTCATCTTTTTAAGTGGGAGAACTTGCACAATTGGTGGCTGACTAAATACTTTTTTTCCCCACTGTACGTGTGGTTAATAAAAACTCAACAGAGTTATTCATATCACATAAACATAAAACGAACATATTACACGAAGAACAAGATGCAAATTACAACTATGGCATGAGTTATATAAAAACAACAACATTCAACAAAAATGTTATGCAGGAAAAAAAGAACATGCTAAACCTAAGTTTTAGAATGGAGTTGTCATCACTGGTCTGAGCAACAGTCAAGAGTAGAAGTAGGCCTATAGACATATCCTACAATTAAATGTTGGTTGGATAGTTGTGGATGAATATATATTTTTTAAAGGATAAAGCTCTCTATAACCAGGCAGGTCACCCATGATACAAGTCAGTACTAGACGTCCATCCATGTCTGAGGACGTCGGGAGATTACGTAAAAACCGCCCGCTAGGGGCAACAGTGAGCGCTGTTACCTTCAAGTAGGTTTTGCTTTTGCTAGGGCGTTGTGTTTGATATATGTTTTCTCAGTTTTAGTTTTCCTGGTTTTAGATTATTTTAGTTTTTCACTCTCAAAATTACAATTGTTCATAGAAAACAACGAGATTGTATGTTCTGAGTCCATGTCAATGCTTAAATCACATCAGCAGACCGTTTTTTTTAGGTCTGGAAGAAAACAAACACATTTTAATTCCCCTTTAATTGTGCGTCTAGTGAGTCAGGAATGTGCAGTCTAATGATTTTAGATTTTAGAATTTAGCAGACGCTCTTATCCAGAGCGACTTACAGGTAGTGAGTGCATACATTTTTTTTCTTCATACTGGAACATACTAATGTTCCAGTCTAGCATGCTGCTGCTGCTAATTTCATAGCAAAGTTTGCAAATAACAAATAATAGATACAAATTATATACTTACTCATGATATAGTTCTGCCAGGTAAACCAACTTTGCAGTTAACATTTAACCTCTACGGGATCGGTGTCCCATATACGGGACGGTCGAGCTAACGTGTGCTAATGTGATTTGCATGACTGTTGTAAGTAACAGCAAACTTTCCATATGGGCAGAAAGCTTAAATTCTTGTTAATCTAACTGCACTGTCCAATTTACAGTAGCTATTACAGTGAAAAAATACCATGCTATTGTTTGAGGAGAGTGCACAACAACAAAAAACGTATCACGGCAACTGGTTTGATACATTCACCTCTGAAGGTAAACAATGTACTTACATTCAGTAATCTTCCCCTGATTTGTCATCCTAAGGGTCCCAGAGATAAAATATAGCATAGTTTTGTTTGATAAAATCAATTTTTATATTCAAATGTAGGAACTGGGTTCTACAGTTTGAACGCCTGCTGTCTCTGGCTCCACACCCACCCCGCCCGGCCATCTAGATGTGTGAAGGTTAGTGTATAAGCTAATGATCCATCATGTATGACATTCCTGGGAGTGTGTAAACTTACATTTTGTATTACTATATCATTTTTGTATGTTCTCTATAGTTATGTACTTCAAAATGTATCAATTCACCAATTCGGCACATTTGGGCAAACTTTATACAAAATTGTCCAGTATTGCAATGCTTCACTGGATCAATCTGAAACTTTGCACACACACTGCGGCCATCTAGTGGCCAAAATCTAAATTGCGCCTAAACTGCAATATTATATTGTGGCCTTTCGCTTGCATTTCAGAGATGATGGAACAAAATAATAAAAATAAAACGCTTGTTTTTTTGTTTGTATTATCTTTTACCAGATCTAATGTCTTATATTCTCCTACATTAATTTCACATTTCCACAAACTTCAAAGCGTTTCCTTTCAAATGGTATCAATAATATACATATCCTTGTTTCAGGTCCTGAACTACAGGCAGTTAGATTTGGGTATGTCATTTTAGGTGAAAATGGAAAAAAGGGTCCAATCCTAATAGGTTAACTATTAATTGAGAAGGTTTTGGGGAAAGTATTTCTGTCAACCCATGAGACAGTTATCACATCAACTCGCTACACATGGAGTGATAGACAAACTAGACAAACGTGTGCACCACACAGACAGACAGGGGCAATATTGCTGGAAATTAATTGCCAGATATTGTGTGTCAGGTTTGGCTTTTTAAGCCAATAGTGGCTAACCAGGGATAATGTAATGTTGTGTTGATTAGGTAGTACAGTGGGGGGAAAAATTATTTAGTCAGCCACCAATTGTGCAAGTTCTCCCACTTAAAAAGATGAGAGAGGCCTGTAATTTTCATCATAGGTACGTCAACTATGACAGACAAATTGAGAAAAAAAAATCCAGAAAATCACATTGTAGGATTTTTAATGAATTTATTTGCAAATTATGGTGGAAAATAAGTATTTGGTCACCTACAAACAAGCAAGATTTCTGGCTCTCACAGACCTGTAACTTCTTATTTAAGAGGCTCCTCTGTCCTCCACTCGTTACCTGTATTAATGGCACCTGTTTGAACTTGTTATCAGTATAAAAGACACCTGTCCACAACCTCAAACAGTCACACTCCAAACTCCACTATGGCCAAGACCAAAGAGCTGTCAAAGGACACCAGAAACAAAATTGTAGACCTGCAACAGGCTGGGAAGACTGAATCTGCAATAGGTAAGCAGTTTGGTTTGAATAAATCAACTGTGGGAGCAATTATTA